TCAGTATAGTTACAACGGCTGCCCCACCCTTCAAACCGAAACGCATTACTGCTTCACGGCAGAAATAGGCAGGGCGGTGGTACCTACCCGCGCGGACTCACAAGAGGTCCTACCACCAGTAATATTGTGAATGTGGTTTTTCAAGGTTTTCAATAGTGGAAATTGACTACTATATATAATGCTGCAGAGTTGATTTCGTGCTAATCTATAGTGCAACCGTTTATTATAAGAAACGTAGTACGTTTACAATAAGAACGTCAGGGACACGGCCGTCTAACATATATACTTAAAACAGCATACCTATGCTATTGAAAATTATGTTATTAATTAAATATAACGCAATTTTAGTAAGGTGGGTGAGGGTTATATGGTGAATATTGCTTTTCAAGGTTTTCAATTGTGAAAATTCACTATATATAAAATCGGATGGACAACGCTAACTTACAAGTGGTAACGATCGTTCAGAGCTGTATCGAACTTTATGAATTTATCTCTGTCATAATGAAATCTTATTAAACTATTCAATACTAGCGACCCGCCCTCGCTTCGCTTCGGAAACATTAAAACACACATGAAACCAAAAAAATAAAATATTTTTTTTTTTTAAAAAAAGTAGCTTATGTTCATCAGGGACAATGTCGGCTTCTAATGGAAAAATATTTTTTCAAATCGGTCCAGTAGTTTCGGAGCCTATTCGAAACAAACAAACAAACAAATCTTTCCTCTTTATAATATTAGTATAGATATAGACTAAATTTAAAACAAAAGGGGATGAGATATTTTTACTAGTGATGGGTCGTATTTTGAATTTGAACGGGTAAGTCAGGCCAACTTACCTATTTCTACCGCTAGATTGTCGTCCATACCGGCTCGAGGAGTGGGGCAGTTGCGATTCAATTCAATTGACAGTTTGACCCCTCGTCTCAAAGTCGATAACGACTTTAGGATTTTCATGTTTATGAGCTGGAATGCTTAAATCGATATTCATTTAATTAATTGCCGTATCACCACGATACTCAAGTAAGTGCTTGTATTTCATGTTGCATTTGAAAACATTACAATATGGCTGCTTTTACTTTAACAAAATATAGCGTTATGATAGGCGTAGAATCTCACAACCTATCTCGTGTTCATAGGTTATCGGATTCTGTAGAAGTCACTGTGAATGCCAGCCCCCAGCTTGAGACATAAGGTCCAAAAACAAATTGTATTGTATGACAGCGCCAACTTTCAAATCTGGGCACATGACGGCTTCGCGGTAGAGATTACTTATCTAATCTGAAATTAGTTTTTTGATTTTGATTGGTATTATGTAGTTAATAAAAATGGCTTTCTCCTGGTTTTCGCAATGGTGTCTTAGAAGTATAGAAATATTTATTTCTACTGAAACACATAAGAATATACTTATAATGCAATTAGCTGTATTATTAGATTGACGTGTTTCTCTTTAGAAATGTATCGTAATAACTAAAACAGTATTAAAGGAAGAATTGTCATATTTTTCTTAATGGTAGTGAATTTTTAAGCTTCGAGACTGCGTTATTGATATTAAATGATCATTAAAACGAATCATTAGTAATTATATAGTTTAAGCTCGTTTAATTACCTACAAACCTTACATTTCAGTGCTGTGGCCATATTGATCAGAATTAATTCTTTAACCCTAATACCTTTGCAATTAACTTTATTCTATTATTAATTATAGCTAAGCTGAAAATCCTCTTAAATTTTAACAGTTAAGAATAAGAAATAATAAAAAAAAACACTTCGCAGACAAAAATAATAATAACACGTAAAAATTTTAAAAAAGAAGCTCGCACGTTTCACGTCACTTTGACAAAAAAAAAGGCACAGAAAACACGTTGTCGGTCCTCAAAAAGGCGGACAACGAATTTAATCCCCTCACCGTCCAAACCATTTTCTTTTTTCGTTTTTAATTTAAAAATGCTCTGTTGTATCTACAATATTGTTAAAAACTTTGATAAAACAAATGGATATGATTATTTGACGCATCGTTAACGTATTTGGAGATTCCTTGCGCTAGCTAGTTTCGTTTTTTGTACGTGCACCGTCCTATTAGACTGTTATTTTTGTTGTTAATTTCCGCTTAATAAAATTAACGCTTCTATATACAACCAACGGTTTCAAACTACACTGAACCTGTGCATTCCATAATGAAAAACACATGAAAAGCTTTCAATAACGAGAACTCTGTCAAACGGATCATCAGCGCAAATGCCCAGTTTTTTTTTATTTTTATTGCTTAGATGCGTGGACGAGCTCATAGCCCACCTGTTGCTAAGTGGTTACTGGAGCCCATAGACATCTACAACGTAAACGCGCCACCCACCTTGAGATATAAGTTGTAAGGTCTCAGTATAGTTACAACGGCTGCCCCACCCTTCAAACCGAAACGCATTACTTCTTCACGGCAGAAATAGGCAGGGCGGTGGTACCTACCCGCGCGGACTCACAACAGGTCCTACCACCAGTAATTACGCAAATAATAATTTTGCGGGTTTCACTTTTATTACACGATGTTTAAAAGCATTTCTCATTTACCGTGGTGCGAGTGATAATATACTATACTATATAAAATTTACTATATAAACATACTATATAAAATTTTGTAATAGAAGAATTCGTGTCGTGTCGAAGTCGTCGTGGCCTAAGGGATAAGTTTCGTGTTGAGCGATGCACCGGTGTTCGAATCCCAGGCGGGTACCAATTTTTCTAATGAAATAGGTACTCAACAAATGTTCACGATTGACTTCCACGGTGAAGGAGTAACATCGTGTAATAAAAACGAAACCCGCAAAATTATAATTTGCGTAATTACTACAGGAATGCGTTTCGGCTTGAAGGGTGGGGTAGTCGTTGTAACTATACTTGAGACCCTAAGGTTTATGTCTAAGTTTTAGAACTTATATCTCAATTATAGCGCATTTGCGTCGTAGATGTCTATGGGCTCCAGTAACCACTTAACACCAGGTGGGCTGTGAGCTCGTCCAGCCTTCCAGCAATAAAAAAAAATCTTTATAATGAAACTAGATACTTAGGTGCCAAGACACTAAGCAATTTTCAATCGAAAGATTACCCAATGCTTTATTCCGGTGCACGCTATGTATTGCAATAAAGACTCCGGCTATGTTCAATACCACATGGTTTCGAGGTAACGAGGACCGCATCCGCTAACTTCATTTGCTTTTCTCGTCAGTTCAACCAAAGCAATGGTACTTTTAGGTACCACAAGCACCGGTCACCGTCGTAGTCGAACCCGTCGCTTGCGACGAAGGGCTCGACGAGCGAATTAACCCATAGAGACAGCCCACTGAGTTTCTCACCGGATCTTCTCAGTGGTCGCGTTTCCGATCCGGGGGTAGATTCTGCAAAGCACTGCTCTCGCTAGGGCCAGTGTTAGCAACACTTTCGGTTTGAGCCCCGTGAGCTCACCTACATGTTAAGGTGAAGCTGAAATAGCCTCTCAAGGCTATCAGCATAGGTAGGAAAAAAAAACAAAGCAATAAATATTTTTGTCCGTTGTTATAATAAAAATTCAATTCATACTTCATTCAAATGATCCACTGTGTACCAGTTTTATATTACCATGTTTTATATTTTCCCGTAATTACAAAACAAAAAATCTGAGCCTATAGTCCACTTTAAAGATAAGCGTAATTACAAAATAAAAAATCTGAGCCCTTGTAGACTTTAAGGATAAGCATTTTTAAAAACAAATTGTTAATATAGACGTCGCTATAAGTCAATTTGAAAACCGTTTCGTTTTTAATTGGGCTATTTTTAGACGACTCTTCTTTAGAAATTGATTTTCGCTTTATTTGTGAACTGAAGCTGTTAAATAATGAATGAATCACTTAAATTCCCTTTCAGGCTTTCAATGGCTTTAAGCTATTTCGGGATCCAATGGCGGATCCAGGGGGAGGGTCATGGGGGTCATGACCACCCCCTGAGCTGGGTCCAGGACTTAGGTGGACCACTAATTGAATATAATGATTTTATTTATATATTTTGTCACCATACAGATTTTATTTAACTACATACCTTCAATATTTAATTAATTTAATATAATATAATAACTTTGTATAATGGCAAACGTTTGGGAACGAACGCATCTAAATTTGACTATGTGACCCCCTCCTGGCGCTAAAGCTGGATCCGCCCTTGTCGGGATCAGGGAAACCTCAAACGTAATTATTTATACATGTGACTTAAAGTGGGACTTTTAAAAAGGCCGGCGTCTTTTGAATGCCGTAGACTTTATAATACTAGCTTTGATAAATTTAATAATGAGTTGTTTTTTTTTTGAGTTTGGAATATTGGAGTTTGGAGTTTGGTATATTATAAGCGAGGATAGTGCTGTTCTACCCATTTCTAACACGAAACACACATTTGTTCTACAATGTAATCAAGACTTCGATATCATGCCATAAAAATTTTTTATATTTTTTTCTTTTTATTTATTGCTTAGATGGGTGGACGAGCTCACAGCCCACCTAGTGTTAAGTGGTTACTGGAGCCCATAGACATCTATAACGTAAACGCGCCATCCACCTTGTGATATAAGTTCTAAGGTCTCAGTATAGTTACAACAGCTGCCCCACCCTTCAAGCCGAAACGCATTACTGCTTCACGGCAGAAATAGGCGGGGTGGTGGTACCTACCCGTGCGGACTCACAAGAGGTCCTACCCCCACTATTTCTTAATCATCGATTCACTGTTGGACTGCATAGCTAAGGGACGTCCAAACAAAAATGGACTAACGCTAGAAAGTATCATGAAATTATAAGAGTCCTACTTTCCGCCATTATCATTCGCGTTGTAAAAACCAATAATACATTTATCGCTTACAATGTAACAGCGTGTACTTCGATCTATTAATTAAATACATTTAATTAAATATTGATTTCATTGAAACTAGCACTCCATGTAAGATGTGAGAATCTGTCATTAATAATGAAATATTTGGTATTTTTCTCTAGTTCCCTACGACCAAATAGACACCGACTCGGCCTTGGTACAAATGTTCGCCCGCGCCGGCGCCCCCATCTGCAAGTACATCGTTGCGATTGGTGCTCTCGCTGGCCTCACCGTGTCCATGTTTGGTTCCATGTTCCCGATGCCAAGGATCATCTATGCAATGGCGCAAGACGGACTAATCTTCAAGTTAGTAACGGTATTTCCTTTCAAACTTAAATAGATATCTGTCGTGAGACATAAATACGAGCGAAGAATCTGACTGGATATTAAATCAACGAACATCTAAGTAAAAAACATCGGTTATTTTTTTTTATGTGCAAAATGAATTAGTGATTGCGGCACACCCTCATATAAACAGATATTTGAATATTTAGTATAATTTATATTAAATCTAAGCGGCGCATATCACATTGAGGCTATGACTGACAATGCACATAAATACTATATAACATTTTGTATCAACACGACTCGTTCGCAATACGCTTCTTGTTCAAGATAATCTACTCGATCAAATTAAAATGATAGTAAAAAAATTGGTCGCTTCACGCGTGAATTGTATTCCTAGCTTATATTTTGAAGACAATCACAAAATAGCCGGACTTGAGTCATTTCTTTCTAATGGAAAAGTACAAGAGCCGCAATTAGGGTCATGCTATTTTAATAAACGAAAAAATTTGACGAACAAGAAAATTGAGTTGCGTTTTTCTCCCTTATATTGAGGTCATTTTCTTATTAAATTATATCGCTATTTCAGTTAGCCGAACTAATTCTAACAAATGGTATTGGAACCGTTTTTTTTTCCAGTGGTCTATATATTTTATTTCGTTTTCAATCACATGATCATATTTTTGTTAAATAGAAAATGTATAGTCATTAAATTTATGAAACATAAAATGAATTTTATAGTAAATTAAAACTATAATCTATTTCTAGTGTAAGGTTTTTATTTTGTTTATTTATCGTTCTTTTTTTAATTTTCTCATTTTGAATCGAAGGTTAAGATTAACATCGTCCATCAGTTTTTTGGGAACACTTGCTGAAACAGGACTTGATGCAATGTAATGACAGTAGGTGGGTTATAATTTTTTTTTTTTTTTCGTTCGCTATTAATTGTAAAATCTGAAATGCACTTACTACATTTTCCTTTGTTATTTTAGCACCTTAACATTTTTCGACTTTTACCGGCAACATGTCCATTGTTTTTTTTTACTTTTTCTATTATTTGACTTGTTTTTTATTACCTTATCAATTTAATATTTATAAATTTTTTTCTCTAACATTTTTTAATTTTTTATCCTATTTTGAAATGCAGATATCATTATTAACTTCTGCTTCCGAACAGGTCACTGGCGTCGATTTCGGAGACATCCGGGACTCCAGCCCTCGCTACCATCCTAGGAGGTTTCGCTGCCGCAATGGTAGCCCTGACTATCCAGCTGGAGGTGCTCGTTGAAATGATGAGCATCGGTGAGTATAAAATTAAAAAGCTCGCCTCAGCTATTTGATCTGTCGATGACTTGATTTGATCACGGAATCCGAGCTTTATTCTCGGTCAGGAACAATATTCAGGTCTTTGGTCTAGTTGTTCTCGTCTTGACTTTTCCAGCACCCACAGGATATAATCGTAGCTCATAAACGTGAAATGCGTAAGAAATGTCTTAAGTAAGTTTTTTTTGAAGTGAAACTGCTTTAGAATCGTTGGGTGTGATTTCAAACTCGATGAAACGAAAAAATGAAACGTCAAGTCAAAATATCAATTCACAGAGGGTGGTATCTCATACTATAAAAGATGATTTACAATTATTTATATTTAGTTTGTTATCAACAGATGTGGTTGCACGTAAATTACTGAACAATTACTGAATCGCGATGACGAGATGTTACACAGTTGATAGACGCTCTCGTATTTCTCTAGATAAATCATATTTACCTGGCGTAGAGATTCTGTGATCATGCAGGCGGTTCCTCCAGAGTGAGGCTGCTCCATTGCACCGCGGAGTGGTTGGTGGTTGCCCTTGCGATTATTCTTATTTTTTATAAGTTTCACTTCTACCGTGTGTGACTGACTTGCACACACACACTTTTTTTATAAGTTTCACTTCTACCGTGTGTGATTTGCACGCACTTACATTTTTTTAACTACTAAATGAAAGAAACCTAAAATAGCTCTATAATTTATCCCTAATATAATCTTAGCATAAGCACAACTTGAATGTGAATTTTAATATAAACGGGGACTTTTAAATTACACATAAATAAATTGTATTTATTTGTTAGTTTCTGCAGCTATGTCAAACTCAAAAACAACTCAAACAACAGCAGTCGAGATGCTCTGGAACGAAACATCCAGAACAGACGCTAGTTAGCGCTAATAGGATCGCACTGAAACGAATCTAGCGTTGTTACCAATGTTACGTTGTTAAAAAAATGTTGTGAGTTTGTCACTTACTTCTTGTTTGTAACAATGAATAAAGTACACTCACTAATCTGTTCTGTGTCGAGGACTTGAGTGACGTAAACAGAGAAACAGCTTCTTTAGGATATATTTCGACGATTACAATTTTATGGCTAGTTTTACTTTGGTAACTCCAATTTGTGTTGTTAAATAATATATGATGTTAGTATCACTATTCTGGATAGTGCTATGACAAATAAGCACTTTCAATGCTTTTGTGTCGATTCGAACTACGGTACCAAATGTAGCCTTAGCTCTCGCTCTTAGCTGTAAACAGATAACATCATGTAGTTCGTAAACTCGTTCAGAACTACACTAAAAGCACCGTGACTTGAATCAACAATGGTATACACGCCAGCGTCTCAAATTTAATTAAGTTTTTTTAAGCTATTGCATAGCTTATATCGCGGGCTTTGAGCGCGGCAACCGAATCAAGAAATTCCGTAACGAAAATAAAACCTAACACCCTCACTCCGCCTACCATGTAGCTCGCGTTCAACAAATTCACACGTTGCGCTTGTGTAGTGTTTGTGAATAAGCGCGCGGCGTGACGTCGCACTGCATGCGCATCATGAAAAGTCTGCCCATCTCTCTCTCTCGCGGTCTAGCTTATGAATGTGAAGGGGACAGTTATTTTTTTGCTTTTGTTAATGTTTATAAATATAGCGTGGTCTTATTTTATTATTGTATAAGTTAATAAAAAATGCTAGACAATAGCTTTACCGCGGCAGTTCCCGAGTACCACACGTGTTTTTTTTTGCTTTAATATAATAGGTATTGAACATTCCATCTATTTCGTCATCAAGCCCCCGTGACCTAAATTGCTTAATTTAATTCACTTCGCGAGAAGCTAGAAGACATTCAATATGAAAAAAATTGGCAGTCACTGCGAACACATGACATTAGAATTTTTTTGTGTTTATTAAAAGATTTAAATATTTATTGGATGGACTAATACATTATGGATTAGAACTGTACAGCATCTGTACAAGATGCAAGTATTGCAATATAGAAATCCTTCAATTACTTATGTAGCGACTCGATAGCCCACAACGCCAGCAGGCGGCCTTTCCTTGACCTCTTCTTTCGGACTGCGTTCCTTTGCTTCTTCGATTTACAGTCAAAGACAGTTTCATAACTGCACAACGCAAAATACAGTCCACTTCTTCTGTTTGAAAGACCGTTAAGAATTCTGTACACAAGCGCAACCATGAGCTTCCTGGTTTGACAAAGAACAAGAGCGGTACTCCAAGAGTTTGTGCGTTGGTCTCATGTTTCAAGTTTAAATTACATATAAAAATGTCGCGAATTACAGGTAAATGTAAATTCTTATTCTTTATCTACCGAGGGTCATGACTCCAGTCGAGAAGCAGCTGCCTTTGAGCTGTTAGGTCTCCCTCGGAGGCGTTTGGGCAGCTGTTAGCGAATCCCACCCCTCCTGGTTGAGCCTTTTTTCGCCCACATATCCTAATGAAACTGAAAAGGCCTTTCCGCCCCCAGTAATCCTTACTTCGTAAAAAAGGCTGTGATGTCAATTTTTATTATCTATACACACGTGTATATATTTAAACGAATATAAGTATGTTTTTCAGTCTCTGGTACCGATAACACAGAGAATCCTAAGTCGAGGCCAGAAGAGCGTGCATGATTTGTTCCCTTAATTACTTAATTATCTATTTTATTTATTTGACTCTGGATAAAGTAGTTGTGACCGTTATGCAACCTCCAGGGCATTCTGATGCGCCCGTTGAAAAGATCGACCAAATGTGATTTAACTTTAAATTATTCATCCATAATTTCGGCTACAGCGACTGGCTTCCGACTGTCGGTCACCATTTTCGGAATAAAGGCAATTTTAACTTGGATGTGTACGCTGACAGCACACGCGTATTTTATTTACATACTTGTATTGGCGAATGATCTTTTGTGGATATTTTTGCTCGTTTTACTTGAGATACAAGTGTGAGTTTTAGCGAGCAAGTAGAAAAGGTTGATTATTTTGGGTATTATAATAAAAATGAAGACGGTACGTACCCGTAAATAAGAAATGTTTTTCCCGATTTCCCGTTTTGGACGCTTATCAACGGTAACAAATTAACAAGAAACCGACTCAATCCCTAATCTTATTTCTGTTTCAACTTGGAAAATGGGGCCTGTGTCTGCGATTGGAATGATTATTGGTTTTGTAGTCCGATTATATAATAGATCGATTGTTTTCTTAATTTGGATCAGTTAACATTTTAAGAATGCTCTTCTACAAATTTATTTTTAATATACCTAGTGAAACGTGAAATACGTTTCTGGCACGAACCAGTCTTATTTTTGAGATTCAGGAAATTGGACCAAAGTCGTAATTGGGATAATAATAATAATAATAATAATAAAATAAGTACCAGCCGGACGCTGTACTCGAAAACGACCGTGCCAAGCTCTACTGGGACCGGCCCATCATTACGGACAGGACTATTCTTGCGAATAAGCCTGATATCGTGCTGATGGACCAGACGGAGTCTCGGGTATTTCTGGTGGATATCATCATCCCCTACGACGAGAACCTCGTGCGGGCCGAGGCAGATAAAAAGACCAAATATTTGGACCTGGCGCACGAGGTGACCGACATGTGGAGGGTGGTATCTACAGAAATAATCCCAGTAGTTGTGTCGGTGAATGGTTTGGTCCCTAAAAGCCTCTCAAAACATCTCGAGAGGCTTGGTCTCAACAAAAAGTCGGTGGTGGCCCAAATGCAAAAAGCAGTCTTGCTCGACAATGCCCGTATAGTTCGCCGGTTTCTCTCCCAATAGTCCCTAACGCTCCGGCCGATTGTTGCCCGCCTCGCCGGAGTGTGTCCTGCCGTCTTCCCAGGCGTGGCAGTGTTTAATACACTATAATAATAATAACGTTGATAACAAAGAAAATAATCTGAAATAATAATAATAACAGGAAGACCGCAATTTAATTCACGCCCCAGTTTCTATAAGTTTCGACAGCCGATGAAAACCATGAGAATCGGATCGTCCGCCCATCTACGCTTATTAAAAAACAACTTAGGCGAACTTAGCTTCAAGATGACGAAACGAATTTGGGCAATAGAAAATTACAAAAGTCACCGACCGATCAATTTCGGTTTTACTTGTCCATTTTAGCTAATTAAAAAAGCTTTCATACCGACTTCTGAAGTTGAAAGCCGCCCCTTAAGCGAAATACATGTCGTTTAAAAATACTAAAAAACACGCTCCGGGTATAGGAATTCGTTCAGAAAACAAATGACTACAAACTAAGTGAGTTTACTAGCTATAAAAAATTAATAATAGTTTAAAAAAACACGCTTTTATAGAAAAACCAACTAAAAAATAGAAAATAAATTTTAATAAATTTGAATTAAAAATAGAGTAAGTAAAAAAATATTTTATTGTAAAAAAAGCGTGAAGCGTGAAAGATTTCTTTATTCGCGATTCTAGTCGGTACATCAGTACACACACATTGATAAAAAGGATTCTAACATATAGGTAACCAACCGAATATCCTTAGTAAACGCTTTGTACATATATACCCTGCTTCGTAAAGAACTTTTACTGTACTGTGAAAGAAATTTTCATTAGATATCAATTGTACCAGTTCTTGCCTTATTTATGTCGGTACCCACTACACCCGTAAAATCTAAGTTTAGGCAGTAGAAGAACATGGAACATTAACAATATCATCATTTATTTATCGTATATTGTCGAACCACATTAGCTGTGCAATTAAGGTTTCTTTCAATCGCGATCAATATTGTTTCAGGAATTGCACGTTCGAAGACTTACATAATGAATTAACACAGCGACATTTTATTGCCAATACTATACTTCTATTTCGTTCTAAGTACCAATTTCCCGCTGGTTGAGGTTGAGGAATAGAGGCAACGGTAGATAAGAAGGCTCTCTGCTATTTCTACGCAATGTTATCATGCCCTACAGTTTGAAGGTTCCAAGTTCCAGCAAGAAGTTGATTCCAAGTTCCAAGGAACAAGTCT